TGTATGTAAGCCATCTCCTTCCCCAAACACATCCTGGGCCCCCCGTGAAACGCCGGAAACCTAAACGGACTATCCGGCCTGAACTCGCCGCTGGCAACCTCCAGCCACCTCTCCGGCCTGAACTCCTTGCAATCCTTACCCCATATCCCTTCCATCCTCCCCATCGCGTACGCGTTGATAAACCACCCTCTTTTTATCTCCGTCCCATCCGGCAACACCTGGTCGGCGCCGCAAACCGCCGAGTTGAACGGAACGGGAGGATAAAGCCTCATTGCTTCGGTCAACGCCGCGTGCAAGTAATGCATTTGCCGCAGTTCATCCAGACCAAATCCGGCGCCGGCTGCGCTGACGGACTTCACCTCGGCGAGTATCTGGCGTTCGACGTCCGGGTGGGAGGAGAGAAGCCAGAAAAACCACGTGAGTGCTGAAGAGGTCGTGTCGCGGCCGGCGAGGATGAAGCTGATGATGATGTCGCGGAGGAACTCGTCAGAATTATTTTCTTCGTCAGCGATGAACCGCGAGAGGAGATCATCTCCTCCTCCACCGCTTTGTAGATACAGAGTCTTTTTCCTGGATCGTATGATCTTCATCGCGAAATCGTGAACAGTTGCGACGGACTCGCGAAGCCGTCTCTCAGACCCAACGTCGAGCAATTTCTTAATCTTCCAGAAACCCGGAGCCGCGTAGCGGAATCTCCCCGCAGTTAGGTGCGCAGCGGTGCTGAAGGCGGAAGCGAAGCTGGCGGCTAGCCCTGAATCGAAACAGAAGGGATCGAGGTATCCAGGGTCCGCATCGAAGGCAATCTTGCAGACGTTGTCGAAAGTGAAGCGCTCTAGGGCATCCTGGAGGTCTATGGGTTTCCCGGTTTCGGCTGCGCGGCGGAGGAAAGGGATGAGACGGGTGGAGATCTCGTTGGTGACGGCACGGTGGACGAAAGAGCGAAGGGAGCGGGTGTTGAACTCGAAGCTGGCCGTCTTGCGCTGGATGCGCCAGAGGGAGCCGTCGGAGTTGAAGATCCCGCGGCCGAGAAAATCGTGGAGAGTGTTGCGGAATCGATTGCCTTTGGGGAAGATTTCAAAGTGGGATTTGAGCATGTGCTCGACGTTGGCCGGATTCGCTGTGATGACGCCGCGGATACTCCCGGGGCGGTGGAAGATGAAGGTGTTGGTGGGAGAGGCGGTGAGGAGTTCCGTCAACCACTCAAGAAAGCGGTGGCGGTTGCAGAGGAATTGGGGGAGGTGGCCGATGATGGGGAAGGGCTGCATTCCTGGCGGGTAGTAAAGTTTCTTTAGGGGAGGTTGTTGTATGGGCGAGGAGAAGAAGAGTAGATATATTGAGATGAAGGAGATGAAAGCTACGAGGATTAGGGGGAGGAGGAGTAAGAGCCCGCCAGCCGACTGGATTCCCATTTCCTTGACAAAAGGTGGAGGAAATGTTGAAGTAAAACGTTAGTGTTGGGGAAAAGGGGTATTTATATTGAGAAGAAATTTGCTTCACTTTATTATATGGGCTAATTTTAAAAAAAATTAGATTGATGCGTCAATAGGTCCACTAAGGTGAAACCCAAGCTTTTGTTTTTATTTTTAATTTAGTTTTTGTTTTTCTCATTTGACTCAAAATTTTACATATACTAATTTAGGTCTGGTTTAGATCGATCAACTGCTACCTATCAAATTCAAATTTTTACTTTTATAAGAAGAAAATTTGGCATTTAGCATATGTCAGTTTTGTTTCACCTGAAATATTATTTTATTCTTTGTTGCCCTAACCTTTCCGACATTGGGTCTAAAGGGTATTTTGTCCCTTTTCAAAATAGATATTGGTTCTGCCCCTGTTAATGTAGTAAGGCTGTCACATGGATTTTTAGTTGACTTTAGGACACTTTATCATGATATTTTGAGCTTCATGTCCAGACTCATGGGGTTAATTCTCCAAATTCTTTGTCTACGCACTTCATGCATGTTTTCTTTAGCCTCTGCCAAGGGTTTTTGACTCGGTGCGGTGTCATTAGGGCTAGCTCCTAATACATATCCTTCGTGGCATATCTTATGCAACGTATCTGTGTGTTTATGCACGTGGGGTCTTACTTTTCTAAGTAAGATTTTATTTTTTGTTGCATTATATATGTCTAGGTCTCATAAGTTAACGTGTTGGTAGCATAGCTCAAACTCAAACGACACTTAGTTTGACATATGATATTAATTGGGAAACGTGCATTACTCAACGATTTGTTTGGATGGATAATGTTGTTTATTCTGTTATTATCAGATCTTGTAGGATCGTTCTAAGCATGGGTTGAGTTAGCATTCATCACTTCTTATGACAAGTGTTAGCCTCTTCTGGTTCTCGAAACAGGAACAGCTCAGTGACCCCGTCAAGATCCTACGAAAAGACCATTAGCTCTTGCAGTGCACGAACTGAATATAGATATATGCATAGGCAACACCTTATAGTTTCTACGTAGAACTAGGAATAATGTGTAATTAGGAATATGACCCACTTGGATGGGACGGTTTAAAAATTTTTCTTTAATTAGACAGCATTTGTTGAACATTTGAGTGCCCTAATGATATTAGAATTGAACAAATTTGATCTCATTGGATTCTTCTTAATGAGACACTTGATTTGATTATAATCTTACAGGTTCAACAACTGTTTGAACTTCCAAAAATATCTGAAAAACTTCTAAAAGCTATTTAATAGCTTGATCTAAGCTTGATTTGGCTTGGATTAGATTAATTTTGGTACCATTACATTTGTCTCATCAAGCAGGTCAGATTGTATTATACAAAGTTACTCTTAATCAATGTTTTGCAAAAAAGATTGTCTCAAAATTCGTGTCATACCTTGAGATTGATGTTAAGTATTGAAAATTTATTGATGATTTATAATATTTAAGTACTGATTGTTAATTGAGATCATATTTTTGAACTGCATAATTTAAAAAAAAATGTAATTTTATTTATATTAATTAATTCCACCCTCTGTTAATACAAATAATTTAATTAAATTGAAATCTCTATTTGCATTATAAGTTTTAATTAATCTCACAGCTAATTTTAAGGATTTGTTACATAAAAACAATTTGTAATTTTAGTTATTGCTCTACTTACAATTACAATAATTATTCATTATTATTTAATGTTTTTATTTTTAGTCTTGACAATTTAATAAATTAAATACATTATCACAGTTATATTTTTAATTTGCTATGTTTATAAAATACAAGGAATCATTTTAACCTCTTTGATCATATGAATAATATAATAAAGTAATATTTATAATTAACATTATTATCTAGCATATAAATTTTAATTAAGTAATCATATGCACATAATATTTCAATATAGCATCAAGACATGCCAACTAATTAAAATTAGGGGCATTTACATACATAGCATGCATTTCTCATGTATTTACATTTCTCACACATAAAATTTCATATGCATTAAGGGCCTGTTTGGGACAGCTGCAGCTTATTGGATAATCTGATGATAAGCTGATTAAAAATAATTTGCTGATAAGTTAGGTGCGGTAGCTATTACAAATTTTTATTTTTTT